TATGAAATTCTTGTTCAGTAGACCGAGGAAGATAACGGGAAGCAGTAGGTCGATGACATAAAACACACAAGAAAATAAATAAACTCACGATGTGATGTCCCTTCACTTTTCTGGTTAACCAAATTTTCTCTCATTTGATACACCTTGCAATTCTAGAGTTTGTCACTTTCTTTCTTCATTTTCATTTTACTTCCTTTTACTGAGTATACAAAGATACAACTTTCAGGAAGGGTAAATCGGACAATCAGTGGGTTGTCATACAACATACAGAATGGGGAAACACAGGCGGCGGTGGTGAAATTCAAACGCACGTCCTCTGATGTGATGATTGGTGACGTTACCACCGGGCCACTAGCGTCCTTCTTCAAACACCCATTCGGGGTGACGCACTAGGTTTAGATGGAAGGAACTCTTTCTCGGATAATTGCTTATAATGATGTGAATAGAGCTTACAGGTAATCATTTCGGTCTCCGACCAGCTTGCAATCTTTTATTTCTCATGGATAGTTTAGCAATCAAGGCGCATTGATAATAACAAGGATATTTAAACAGCTCTGCACGATGCACTTATTGTATGCGACAGAATACATTACGCGCAACTGCCTATTCTCACAATAATAGTATTCTTTCAGTAATCATAATCTGTAAATCTGTCAGATATAAGGAAAGGATCAATTAGTTATCTACTGCTTATACGATGATAATGATAATACATGTTTAAACTCTAGAACGAAAAACAAAACATTTTGAAATGGAAACACTGAAATATTCATTTCCCAAAATTTAGAATTCATTTTTTGTTCTTTCGCAATGATATCACTATTGAACAATTTTTCAGTTTTTTCTCCAATAGATTATGTAGTTACGGAAGTAATTTTAATGATAAAGGATGCGGTTAGTCAAAAGACTGTCTCATTATATAAGGAAAACAAGACGGTTGCAGTTGGGATTGTGGAAGATGAACAATGCTTTGTCTGAAGGTTTAAGTTTCCGGGTAGTCAACATAGATGCTTGACCTTGTGTTTGTTTGGACCGTTCAAAGAGTCACATGATCTTTGTTCATCAACGGGTGAAATAACTGTCCGTAATACATATATGCACATATATACATATATATATATATAAGGAGAGAATAAAGTACACCGAGTTGCGAAACGTTTACCGGAAGGTTTCAATCCTAACTAAAACTCGTTAAACGGAAACGAAATGAATGAGCTAACGGGATGAATGTCATTCCGAGCACCTGTGTGCTGTTTATGCGTCTGTAAGTCTACCAATCGTCACGAATTTATGCGATTATGATATGACTGATTTGTCTAAGTGGACCCGTTACATAGTTAGCAGAACGTTCAAAGCGAAAATGCCAAGAATAGTTTTGCGATTTCGTTAGCCCATAATAGTGGATATTTGATTCCTTACTTTAGACAAGTCTAGTGAAACTTGTGTGGCTTGTTTATCCATTCATTTAGTGTTATAGATGTACGCGTGCGTGTTTGACATTTCTCTCTAATGAACCATGGCAGAGTTGAATCGTACATTCACAGGGACAGATTATATCATTCCAGTACTCATTTCTCCGCCAGATTTCGACCGATATTGCATGGCTATTTTCGTTTCGATAGACGTCAAACGAAGAGACCCCTAAAAACTACAGGGTATATTTTTCTGACCGCGAAAATCGATCGCGCGACGGAAAACAGTCAAATCACAAGCTCTGTGGCATTGACGCTAAATGTTTGGTACAGTGTTAGACAATCAACAGAAACAAATGGAGTATTCACCAACATGCATTACGTGTCATGTAAATGTAAATAAATGCAGTTTACATAGAACTCTGGAAACTATATTTTGTTATTGTACGGCTGAATCCCATCGTCTAAGGTGGATTTTGCCGAAATAAAATACGCAACCACTATGTCTCTCTCATTAATTAGCTCACGAATATAAAAAGAAGCGTGAATTTCCATCACTACGTAGGTTAAACTTTGTGAGATGAGCTATTTAGTCCACGGTTCAATTTTTAGTTTTCGAGGGGATAACTGTAACTCATTACACAGTCAGAAATGTTTTAATCGGATTTCTCAAAAGTGTTCATAGCTGCGGATATGACAAAGAAAAAATGTTTCGTTTTCTTTTTTAAAAAAGAAAACAATGAAAATCGGTGACTGGATTTTATTGAAAAGAAATCGGACGACTGAAAGCGAGGGGGTTGTGATATGCCTAAGATAATGTACTGACAATTCAGTTTTATACCCTTTATGCCTCAAGTAAGTTTCGTTATGCGACGACAAACCCTTTGGAATTTGAAAATGGTCACTTCTGTGTGTATATGTCAATCCCACTTACTTCCGGTGTAGGTTTCACTGCTGATTCGGTGGTTGTAATGCCTGTTAGTGGTAGTTCCGCCTTGGGTTTTGCAACAGATTTGATGGTTGTTGGCCGGCCAAGCGATTCCTCGAATAGACGTTCCGCAATAGAGACCAGGAATTGTGCTAAAGCCGAGGACATAATAAAAGGTAATACCAGCAGCAAGCCTGCGTTCAAGAGCTCCAGCACCGTTCTGAGAGCGATCAGTGGGGCTAGCTTGACTGCTTTAAACAGCATCAAAGAAAATGCACAGATTGCGTGATTTTCCATTTGATGTGTCCGTCTGTGTCTGTGTACATGAGTGATTGCGTGCGTCTGTTTCCCATCACATGATGACCTCTCTGATCTGAGCCGGAAAAAGATATATTACAGGCGAACCTTACCCCAACCCCAAGCTTGCTCTGCTATTGATCTAATCAACAATATGATCACGTGCTTCCACAGCATGTGTTTTGTCACATCTAGCGAGAACTGTTTAAAATTGTCACGTATCGATCAAACCGCTTTATTATAGAAACCAGCCTGCCATATGATCGTTGAATCAAGTTAGTTGGGATTTGGCATTGACTTGCTTTACTGGAACAATCTGTATTTAATGTCGGTCGGCAATTCGTTTATTAGAAAAAAATAATTCTATCAATTAGTCTTTTAAATAGCTAAATTGGAGAAGTATTCCATTTATTGCTGATTAACAAATGAGTGCTCAGGCAGAGAGGTCATTCAGTGTAGCCTGGAGTTGACGCGGGGCACCCAGAGTCTTGCTCATTTTTGGTCAGATTACTTGACAAGTATGATGAACCTGCACTAATGTCGTGTCTACGCTGTGCTTCAAAGGTTCTTCACTAGCATGTGTGACAAGTTGACTTTATCATGTGAGTAATGGAGGATTTGGTTAAATTTCAAATGGGAATTCTTCATGTATATGGCAAATGAAGCGTGAATTGAAAAGCTCGGAAGCACTGGACAGCTGTTTCAACCTGGTTGGGTGTCATCAGCAGTGCGAATCCATCGACGGATGGATCGATCGATGGATTCGCACTGCTGATGAGACCCAATCAGGTCGAAACAGCTATCCAGTGCTGCTGAGTTTTTCAGCTGACGCTTCATTTGCTATATACACGAAGAATTCCCATTTGAAATTTAACCAAATCCTCCATTACTCATATGAAATAATCAGCCAGGTTGTGAATGTTTCCAACCGAGTCATAACACTGGAGGCTAGTGTTGAGTTGAGCAGGGTCCGTGGCCCGTAACAAACTTGCAAAGATGGGTTGTGATATATCGTGTAAATGGAAAATCAAAAACGGTCTGATTAGCTATCCGGTGACGTAGTGGGTAGCATGCTTGCGTTCTGCTCATGAAGTCCCGGGTTCGATCCCTATAGTTGCAAGTAAGACTTTTTCTGATTAGTATTTAGTCAGGGCGAATCCGTTGACCTCTACGCCCCACAAAATAGTTGCATGAAAGTGACACACACGAAGAATAGGTGTGTAAAACATATTCACTTCTGGATGAAGCAAAATAACCTTTTCTGTAGATATCAAACAGACCAAACAGGAAAAATAACTTTGCGTGCCCTTCGATTGGCTGCGCTACACTCTCGTGCTTGTTCGTCACGTTGGAATTTATCGTTTAACTCATCCATACAACGGTGTTGATCTTGACCAGGATCTACAAATATTCTCGTCGGGACATGCTACGACTAAAAACTGTGTATTCTGTGCTACCCACTGATTATTTACTTAGTGAGAGTCACAAAAGCCCTTTGAGCAAAAAACGCCGACGGGCAGGATGACAGACTGCACTTACTCGCACACCTCCTGCCAAGATGACTGTGCCACCATTGGTCAGCACCAACGTTCGCTCACTATTCGCAAAATTCTCGGATTTAACCTCTATTCTGAACACACGCATTAATTCCAACACATGTGTTGTTTGNGTTTGTGTGCAAGAAACATGGCTAAACCAAAACATCGAAGACGTTCTCGTGCGAATAGAAGGGTTTGATTGCTACCGGCAGGATAGACAGCGAAGTAGGAAAAAAACCGGAGGCGGTGTGACTACTTAATGTTTCCTGGTGTGGCAAGTCAGGAGTTATATTTAACTACTCTGAAAACTGCATTGACTGTTTGTGTGTTCGTTGTCACCCTAAATTTTCTCGTCACAAAAGTACAATCATCATCATTGTGTATATATCTCCCTCGTGTACTCGGACCGACCTTTCTGCTTTCTTTGATTCCTACATTCCATTTTTTAGTTCCATTATTAGATGAAAATCTCCACCTACTTGTTGGTGATTTCAATCATGCAAGCA